CTCTCTCTCTCTCTCTCTCTCTCTCTTTCTGTCTGGATCACTGCTCCCGCTCGTTTTTATCTAGCCGAATGTGGCTCGTCCGTGACTGGCATGCAAGGGGTGCTGCTCTCCCCCAACTACCCGGGTTACTATGGCAACAACCACGAATGCATCTACTCCATCCAGACGCAGCCTGGCAAAGGCATTCAGCTGCGAGCGCGGGACTTCCGACTGGAGGAGGATGACGTGCTCAGAGTGAGGGGGCCGCGGGAGCTGTGACCTCCCCAGGCGTATATACGCAGCCTTGTTAGCATATCCGTGCACACCTGATGCTTCCTCCCACTCTTTCTCTTTTTTTTCCCCCTCCAGGTCTTTGATGGCAGCAATAATAAAGCTCGTCTACTGGGGGTGTTCACAGGCAACGAGCTGCTAGACACCATGCTGAACTCCACCTCCAGCTCCATGTGGCTGGAGTTTATCAGCAATGCTGATAACACCAGCAAAGGCTTTGAACTACACTTCTCCAGTGAGTTACACCCTTTTATTTCACTAATAAAAGTCATCTTTAGGAAAATAATACTAAGCTTTAAGCAACAGCCAATCTTCCAGTTTCGTTGCCTTTAGCCTTATAGTAAGACACTTTTATCCTCAATATTACCCTTTCAATTAGTGCACTGTTAACTATATCTGCCCATTTTGTGTCTGTTTTCAAGGTTTTGAGCTTGTAAAATGTGAGGATCCAGGAGTTCCTCAATTTGGCTACAAGCGTGAAGACAAGGGTCATTTTGCAGGAAGCACAGTAACGTATGACTGTGACCCAGGATACACCTTAAAGGGACCCGAGGTGCTCACCTGCCTTAGAGGGGAAAGGAGGGCCTGGGACAGCCCCCTTCCGCTCTGTGTTGGTGAGTTCCCGCTCTTTTGGAAAGGAATTGTCCATGTAGTTGACAGTCACATTTTCTGCTCTGTATGTTCTCAGGGATTAACTCAGTTCACTGTGATGTGATTAATGTGATTTGCAGGTCAAACTTGCTTAAACTAGTACTTCTTCACTTCTGTAAAGTAGTATGAACATAAAACATTTTATTAGTATTTTGGATGATATACATTTGAACGCACGTATTATTATTATTATTATTATTATTATTATTATTATTATTATTATTATTATTATTATTATTATTATT